ACTACTACTACTACTACTGCGACAACAACTACTACTGCTACTCTACTACCTACTACCTACTACCTACTACCTACTACCTACTACTACCTACTACCTACTACCCACCACCTATTACCTACTACCTACTACCTACTACCCACCACCTACTACCTACTACTTACTACCTACTACCTACTACCTACTAACTACTCACTACTAACTACTACTGCTAACTACTACTCCTGCTGCTACTAGTGCTACTAATGCCAGGGGTTATTGTTACTGACATCTCTATCCTTATGATATCCCCAGCAAGCTTTGCGAGGTTGTGCCTTTGGCTTCGTTGTATGACCTTAGAGTCGCGAAAAAAACACTTCTCGGAATTGTGACAGTCCTGGGGCGGTGCTTCACGAAGCCCGTGTACTGCGCCATATCCTGTGCATGGCAGCATTGTTCGCTGATGGCAGATGGCGACATACACTTCGTGCCAACCAGGCCACCCTGTGGCTCAGCTCATACGGAGCTACGCAGCTTCGAACACGGTCACTGCTACTGTCATATCTTGGGAGGTACATGCAGCTGCCGCTATCGTGAAATGCACACATGCACTTCCCCTTACCATGCTTGCAGGATAATCTTGGTCCGGATGCTGCAGGGCAGAGGGCCTGGCGGACGTTTAGGGAGCACTCCAAATGCAGACGGCATCCAGGATTACTTGTGCTTTTCGTCTCAAAGCTGCATTAACTCCAGCATTCTGGCCGCGAGGACCTGAACATCAAAGCAGCTAAGCTCGTGTCTTGGAAGCTGCAACTCTCGTGGCTCCGACCGTAACCCCGGATGGTCCTCACAGGCACCAGCGCCTGCCGAGAAATCATGACCGAAATCCGAGTGCACAAGTGCAAGTCCAGCGGCCTTCGCCCCACCGGCACCAGGGCAAAGCATCACATGGGCCGGCTCTGCTATGCCTGAGAACTTCGTCTCAAAGATCCCTACCAAATATCTGGGGTCTGATCCCGTCGACCATGCAAGGCTTTAGGGCTTCAGAAACCATGCTTCATCCAACATCACATGGGCCCATAAGAGACACTGGGTCATCCTATGAGATGGCATGGTCAAAGGTGCCGCAGCAAGTTGAGCGGAAGTTGCACTTGTGCCAGCTATCCCTTGGGCTCCTGCAAGCTTCTGCCAAGACTGGGAGGCCTCTTTGAGCATAATGATACGCCGTCACACTCTCAAAGAAGACATGTCCATCCCACCTCATCCTGCACGACACTGACCTGGCACGAACTGGAACAGATGCACGACTTCGAGAGCTGCAACTCTCCCTGAGAAAAGCACGCTGCCTGCGGTACATATGGAGCGTTGCTCATCATGCACCTGTCACGCACTGTGAGCATTCGTGCCGAGTGTCGGCCGGGGAAAATTCGGTGCTGGGAGCGCCGGGCGGCTGTGGCCGTGGCGGCCGTGGCGGTTGTGGGTGCAGGGACCAAACGCGAGTACCTTGCTTGCCAAGCTGGAAGCATCCGGCCACTCTCTCTGCAGGTCTCGGCGCACGATCCCGCACTCAGCGTGATGGGCATGGGAGGACCTGGCTCACATGAAGAACCATGGCGATCTCAAAGCAAAACTTATTGCGAGAAGTACCAATCTGCAAGAATCTTCCGGCCTCCCGACGCCCGGTTCACTCGAACCTGCAAAAAGCGAAGCCGCAAAGTGTGGCCTGGTCTACAAAATTTCCGCCTGTTGAGCTGTTGCCGCTGCCTGCTGCGAAGCTTGGACCTGCTCACAGGTACTGCCTACTGCCAGATGCCACGAACGGCGACAACTCGAGGAGCACACCGCTTGCTGCGCAATGAAGGCACGCTGCTGAGCCACCTCTTCGCTTCGTTTCATGTCCAGAAGTCTGGAGATGTCCAACCCACCGGCACTCCAAGACAAAGCAGAGCCTGCGCAGATGCTGCATGCTGCTGTGCCTGAGCGGATCAGTTCATGGCAGCTGGTGTCAATAAACCCAACCTAGGTCCCCGGATGTCCCCGGCTTGCAGCTCCTTCATCTCGTCATTGTATTGGAGCTGCGTCTGGCATAGCTAACAGCTCGAAGGCTCAAACAGACGGCATTTCCGCTCCACGAGTCCAGGGCCTCGTACTGCTGCTTCTGAAACTGGTACTGTTGATAAGCCAAGTCCTAGCTCTTTGCAGGCAATGGGACGAAAAGAGAAGGGGAGCAGGTCCTCTTGTGCTTTCTTCTGGTTGAACTCCAAGAGCAACGCATTCGCCTGTTACAGTGTAACTTTACCGCATCGTGGAGACACACAAACAGAAATCTTCCTTGACGAGATCCGGCCTGGTGCTCCAAGGCCGACTTTTGCTGCTGCGCGGCTTGCTGAAGCAACAGCAGCTGCCTTTTTTGCCAACAAAATCCTCTGCTGCTCACATCATGCGATGCATGCGCCGTGTTTGAGTGCGTCGCTCGTTGTGCTGCTGCGCCAGTTCCATCTCCTTAGCATCAGAGCCATTCTAGTCAGCACTTCACAGGATCTCTGCTAGTAAGCTAACAGCTCGCTGCTTGATCTCTTGGTCTACCTGACAAAGACTTGCAGCAGGTCTTGTCTCCTGTAAACGCCCACATCCGCTTCCGCCTGCAAGGCATACTGGCGCTTGCGTTGATCTCCCATCTGAGTGAAAGAGTTGTGAGATTCAAAGTTCAGACTTGAAGGTGCTGGGCGTTGTGAGATCCCGGCTGCGAACAAATTGTCGGACTGTTGCTTCAGCTGCTGTGCAAGAACTTCCGTACCGTGCCTCAGTCGTGCACGAGGCTGTAGGTTATAGGGTCTGGGTCTGGGCTTCATGCAGATTGCCCATGCTGAGTTGGAAGGCTTCAACTGGTCATCCAGCCCGCGAGAATATGCGCTCTTCTGGCGCTCGATGGATGTGGGATCTGGAAGACCTGATGACGAAACGGGCAGATAAACCCTGCAATTCGATCACCGTGAACCAACATCCCAGACCTGCCGTAAGGCTTGGAGGCACTTGTGGCTCCACTGCGGCGGACGGCTCCTCAATGGAAAGCAACTGCAAAAGTACTGGCAGCAGCAAAGTGGCAGAAGTCGCAGTAGTCGTGGCAGTAGCATAAAAAATAGTAATAGTAGTGATAGTAGTGATAGTAGTGATAGTAGTGATAGTAGTGATAGTAGTGATAGTAGTGATAGTAGTGATAGTAGTGATAGTAGTGATAGTAGTTAGTAGTGATAGTAGTGATAGCAGTAGTAGTAGTAGCAGCAGCAGTAGTAGTAGTAGTAGCAGTAGTAGTAGTAGTAGTAGTAGTAGCAGTAGTAGTAGTAGCAGCAGCAGCAGCAGGAGTAGTAGTCCTCGTCGTCGTGGTGATGGTGGTGGTGGCGGCGGCGGTGGTGGCGCGCGCGCTGGTTTTTCTATCTGACCAAACATTTTCGTGGCTCTTGGGAAAGTTCTCATGGGCATCTATGGTGCTTTCGGGCTTCTAGGTAGAGCAATCACGAGGGTAGCAATTTGAGGGTTTCCAGGTTTTACAGATGCATGCAATGTATTCATCAAACTGACGATTCTATGGTTCAAGCAACCATGGGTCTGATGATGATGACAATGATAATGCAGTTGCATATTACGTGGCTGTTGGGACGGGCTGTCATTTATGTGGAGCAATCACGAAGTTCGCAATGTGAGGCCTGTTTTTCTCATATGAGTGCAATGTATTCATCACAGTGACGATTTTATGGTTCGAGCAACCATGGGTGTGGTGATAATGACGCTGTGGATATACGTATACACGTCACCATCGCCCCTCAACCCACACCCCACTGCCCGTAACCCAAGTACGAACAGTTACGTTACAGACCCTGACGTGGAATATGCCAAAGCCACAAAGGTAAGAAAAGGTACCCTCGAGACGTGCTGAATCCACACTGTTAAGGCCGCAAAGTAAGGAAAAGCGTAGCGTCAGATGCCCAACCGCAGCCGTAGTACCCCCCCTACCAACCACCTTTGCTACAAAGAACAGCACATCCGTTTTACCCGGTATTTACGGTGTCGTGTCATACTACTTTTTATTGCCTCAAAACCCACTCCTGGATTTTGGAAAAATTGCGCTTCGGATTGGGTGGGGGGGGTGGGGGTAGGGGGGCGGGGGGGATGATGACCACAGTTACGCAGACACCCCGAACAACATCTCCACAAGAGCCGTTTTTCTCCGTATTTATACTACTTTCGTGATGTCGGACCCTCTTATACATTCACCAAACCTACTTCTGCACTTTGCGAACTCGACTTTGGGATTTCGGTTTTTTTCGGCGAAAACTCGAAATTGGGTGCGGGGAAGCTTTTTCGGGGGATGATCACGACACTGTTTTGCGGACACCCCGAACAATATCTCCACACCTAGCGCGCACACACCACACAGTACTTCAAAAGCAAACCCGCCTACGCCGAGGTCTGGGCTTTAGGGGTGTTGGCGAGCTCCTCCCACGTACAGCTGGCATCTTTGCTTTTGATTTTTATAAGAGGTTGCGCTTCAGGTTTTAAGAATGTTAAAACCTTCTTGGCATCACCTGCGTTTTGCACGGTATTTACAGTGACTTCGTACTATCCGACTGCCTGTGTTTTAGCAGTTTCTTTCTCGTCGAGTTTGCAACTCCAACTGCTGTCGCGATTTTTCGGCCCGAGCCTCTGCAACTTCACCGACGGTGACAGTTCAGGCAAGTGAGCCTCTGCAACTTCTGCAGCTGTGAGAGATAGGGAGCTTGAGCCCCTGCATCTTCTGCAGCTGCCGCAGTTATAGGGAGCCTAGAAGCTGCCACTGCCCAGCCCGGATGGCGCCAGTGGTT